ACTGATTGGAACTGCAAGAAGATATATTCATAGTGAAGTCTCGGTTTTTAGGATACTATTTGGTGCTCTACCTAACAACAATTAAGGACTCGGATATACTTTCTGTTAATATATGACTCCATCGCGGTTGAACATGATTGGACTTGATAGCAAGTTTCCCCTTTGGGCTGCTGAACTAGAAGCAAATTTTTTCATTTTTAGGCTGCTTTTGCCTTTTGTCCTTAGGTTGTAAATAAATTTTTGCGACAGAGGTTTTCTCTGCGCTATTTCTATAGTTTAGAGCTATTTGTCAATTACCAAAAATGCTAATGACACGGGTGCTGACCACAGTTGCATGGGTTTACTGTTGATCATTCATCCCCTTCCACATTGGATTTTTTTTTTCTTTTTCCTTTTTTGGGGATCATTTGAAAACCTAAAATATCATCCTTCTCAGGTGCTTGATCAGAACTTGTTCAACAATTCCGTGACAGCAGAGCTGAGAGTGACAAAAGCGAAGACTCCATTTATCCATTCCGAACCGAGGACATGGTTTTCAATACATTTTGCACATCAAAGACGATACTATTATACACGTTAAAAACTTTTACAATGCGGTCAAGGGCTCTTACCCAATATTTACAACCTTTTTAAAGTAAATAAATGCAGTTGGGCAATATGAAACTACTGAAAAACTATACATAACGGAACTGTGTGTTACTAATTCTTCCCGACATCGAACTAAAAAATGTGATCGAGAAGCCTAGCAGAGTAATCTATAAGTCTCAAATCAAAAGGCTGCCTCTGGTCAGTATTTCTCATATACATGTAAACGTTAGCCGTATCAAGTGTATGTTGACCCTGTAAAAGAAGGGAGCGCTGCGATTGACAATCTAGTCTGGCTTCGTGTACTCAAGCAACATATGAGGTGACCTGTAAATCTTCACCAGCGTCCAATATAGGATCTCTTCTACTCCAAGTTCTCCCTCTGCTCTAGCAGCATATATATCCTCACAGATGGCGATCAACCTGCAAAACCCATATGTCAAATGAAATATTGCGACTATACTTGCAGGAGGACGTCTTCAAGGCCGCTTTGGAGAAAGCCAAAATCCCCCATATGATTAGTCACAAAAGCTTTTTTGCAAGCATTTGCAACAAGAGGTTGTGTAAACCAAAATCCTATAGTAATAAATAAGAACACATTCCAACCAATTCCCAAAAAATATAATGCGATGATTCAATTAAAAAAAAACTCTAATTAAGTCCAAGATTCCCCGAGTAAGAACCCTTGGACCATCATTTATTCCACTAATAGGTAGAATGATTAAAAACTCAAAGAAATTCTTGTCTTTTTGTCAAAATCTGAGATGCAACTCCTTTCTGCTATGTTGCCAGTGCTTCTGCACTGAGATGCAAACTACTCCTTTACAGGACAAGGTGAGTTTCTGCTCATACCCTTTCAAAATGACAATACCATAATTTGCTTCGTGGGCTCTCTGTTACAAAAACATGAATTATTATGTTTGACAACCTTTAACCCAGACCAACTCTGTCCACTGTTTTTTCGTTGTGGCTACAGCGACATAACACTCTTCCCTACAAGTGTCAGGATTGCTACGGATTTCAGGAGGAGTATATCTCCAGGAAAGGACATTCATAAAACCTCCCTTTTAGAGTATAAGCATCAATACTCAAATTTGTACTATACTAAAACGTGACAATTAACAGTATGCTGTTATTAAATATATTTAGCTGCATTTGCATACTTAAATCATAATCAGTAGAGGGCAATGTACCTGTCGCAAGAAGGAAGATTCTCGTATGGGATCCTCATTCGCAAATCAGAGCACTGAAGTCTGATAAAGCGTCCAACTGCTAGCACAAATGTAATGTACAGACCCCAGATACTGAATTTGCTAAGCGTCTCGCCAAGGAAACCCTCTGACATGGTTTTGACATATCATAAACAAAGTCACATGAGAATGAGGTATAAAACTTAAAAACAAGAGAGGCAGCTTTTCCCTACTGCCTAAAGTGGTAAGCTATCCCTTGGTTCAAATAACACCCTACTAACTTCTATGGCATTTTAAAATCTCAGATCTGCGACTCCCCCTTTTTCCCAGCTACATCCACCCAAAACCTTTAGCCTTTAGTTGATTCAATATGACTGGTGGGATAGATATGACATAATACTTGTTAAATTTAGCCAATTTTCCAGAGTCAAAGAGTGGTTTTCTTTGACCGCTGAAAAAAAGCCCCTGCAAGGAGAGAGGGGGAGGGACAGGGGTACAATAAGAGTACCATGGTATAGGAAAAGGGACAAGGTAATGTCTATAAACAAAATGTATCGGCACAATCACATCCAGAAGTGGACTGATAACATCTAAGGAAAACCAGAACTTCAAAGTGGTATCTAATAAATATTACTAAATACTTACGTGGGGTTTCTTCTGATACAATGATGGCCATTGGCCCTTTTAACCCTCCACAGCCACTAACATCCAATGAATTGATATCATGAAAGGACCACCATTCCAAATTCCCATTATTAAGGACAAGGTCAGCACTGACATCGTTAGCCTGTCAAATATTGGCGAACATCTTATTTCTCCATGGTAAAATAGTCAACGGACATGTATTTATCAAGTTCACCAGTAACTCTAAATAGAGTATGTTCAACTAAGTAACATTTTTTCCACCAGAAATTGAATCTCTCACTTTTTCGGTCAGCCAAACAATTTTTACATCAGTATCTTGTACTCATATGTAATATTTTGAAGTAAAAGATTCCACATCATGGTCCTTGTGTTGAAAACTGTAATTCTTTCCAGAATAGATATAAAAATTTAAAAGAACAAGCATATTTTCGTAATGCTACACCCACTGGATTAAAATATAAACATGCAAGGGTCAGTCTGAACAGTACACTAACGAGAAGAAATGTAGAAGCACAACATTACATTGTAGAGAAGGGTAAGTGTTGGTTGGTGGCTGATGATGGAAGAACATTAGGAAAAAGCATACCTCCTGTTCAAAAGGCCTAACATCACCCGAACCAGTAACGCGAAAATATCTTGGATAGACGTTTCGCACCCGAAAACTACTACTAGTGCCATTAAACACTGCCTCAACCTCTGATGGTTTTGGGCAATCCATTGGATCAACTGTTCTTTCATATTTAACAACTTCCTTGCCCTTTGGTCTGTCTCTGGTAAGAATCCAAGAAAACTTGATATTCATCTCTTCATTGAGAGACCGAAGGAACCTTCTCTGCACCAGATGAGGGACAAGCCACAGAGTACTCGCATCAGATTGACAGCAAACCAGTTGGATGTCACGCACATTGTATGTATCCAAATAACCTTGAGGATCAAGATCAATGACTGTGTTCAGCTGATCCCACGAAATTTTTTCACAAAGAGTTGTCTGGTACAACGTCAACCTTCCACCACCTGTCTTGATATCCAGCTGAACAGTTGCATCATTTATGGGATTCGCAATGTTTGTTGGATTACCACTGCTATACATCTGCATTTATAGTCTACTTAGTGGATCCATCACTGAAATAAAGCAAAGTACGCTATTCACATTTGAGTGCAGCGATTCCAGTTTCAAATCAATGTAGACAAATAACTACACTGCAGTTCCAATTTGACTTTATCTGTACTTAGAGAGCAAAAGACTATGTTCAGTTACAAATAGTGAGCCAGTCGACATGCAGGCAGATGATTATTTACCTAGCTAGAAGCAGATGGAACTAGAGCTGTTAAACGAACCGAGCTGTTCGGTAGCTCGGTTCGTTTCAACTCGTTTGTCTTTGTGAAAGGCTCGTTCGAAACTGTAAACAGGTATCTTGGGAGGAAAACATCTAGTCACAGTATTATGAGTGACCAACTAATATTTATAGGAGTACAAACCTAACGGACTATTTACAAGAATACCCTTACTAATATATTATCTACAAGAATACTAATATTCTCCTAACACTCCCCCTCAAGTTGGAGCATATATATCATAAGCACCCAACTTGTTACAAAGGTATTTCACCCTAGAGCCCCCTAAACTCTTGGTAAACAAATCAGCCAATTGATCTGCAGACGGTACATGAGATGTCTTGATGACTCCATCAAGTAATTTCTCTCGAATGAAATGACAATCAACTTCAATATGTTTTGTCCTTTCATGAAACACTGGATTAGACGCAATATGGACAGCCGCCTGATTATCACACACTAAATTCATAGGTTGTTTATACTCAAACCCAATTTCAACTAACATGCTTTTCAACCAAACCAACTCACACACAGTGTGAGCCATAGCACGGTATTCAGATTCTGCACTTGATCTGGAGACAACTGTTTGCTTCTTACTCTTCCACGACACTAAATTACCACCAACAAACACACAATATCCTGTGGTCGATCTTCGATCTAAGGCAGAACCGGCCCAATCTGCATCACTATATCCTTCAATATCAGTGTGTCCATGATTTTGATACAGCAACCCTTTTCCAGGAGCACCCTTAAGATACCTGAGAATCCGTATAACAGCATCCCAATGACTAGTACGAGGGGTATCAAGAAATTGACTAACAACACTCACTGCAAACGAAATGTCAGGTCTCGTTACAGTGAGATAATTTAACTTACCCACAAGTTTTCGATATTGCTTAGGATCATCAAGTAATGCTCCTTGATCTCTTGCTAATTTCACATTGGGATCCATAGGAGTATCCACAGGTCGGCAACCTAACATCCCAACTTCACTCAACATATCGAGTACATATTTCCTTTGACATAAATAAATCCCATATTTAGACCGAGCTACCTCAATACTCAGAAAATACTGTAAATGATCTAAATCCTTTGTCTGAAAGTTTGCCTGCAGATTGGATTTAAGTTTCTGGATCCCCACAACATCATCACCTGTAATCACAATATCATCCACATAAACAACTAATAAAATTTTACCAGCATTAGAATGCCCATAAAATACAGAGTGATCTACTCCACATCTCGTCAGACCGAACTCCATGACCACACTACTAAACCGGCCAAACCAAGCCCTTGGAGACTGTTTCAATCCATATAAGGATTTTTTCAAACAACAAACCAACTGCGAATTCTCCCCCTGAACAACAAATCCAGGAGGTTGTTCCATATATACCTCTTCTTCCAAATCTCCATGCAGAAAATGCATTTTTCACATCCAACTAATGCAATGGCCAATTGTAAGTTGCTGCCAAAGAGATAAGAAGGCGAACCGAGGTAATCTTTGCAACAGGAGAAAATGTTTCTACGTAGTCAACTCCATACACCTGAGTAAATCCTCGAGCTACCAGACGAGCCTTCAATCTATCAATAGAACCATTAGGCTGCACCTTTATAGTGTACACCCATTTACAACCAACAACAGGCTTACCTGAAGGACGAGGGACAAGATCCCAAGTACCATTTTTCTCCAAAGCAAGCATCTCTTCCTGCATAGCTAACCTCCAGCCAGGATCATTGAGAGCATGGGTAATAGACTTAGGAATGGATATCGAATCAAGAGATGCAACAAAAGAAGAATATGACAGAGAGAGACGAGAATAAGAGACAAAATTAGAAATAGGATGAGAAGTACAATGTCTCTTACCTTTACGTAAAGCAATAGGAAAATCTGACTCACAAGAGGGCGTCATACCTGGATCTGAAGAATGAGAGTTAATTGGTGGAGTGCGTAGCATATCAGGAGCTTTCTCAACCATGGAACGACGAGAATAAACTTGAAGATTAGGACAAGATAATCGAGTGGTGGAATCTGGTGAACCCGATAACTCAGGTAATAAAGATGAAGGGATTGGTAAAACAGGAGGAGAAAAAGAGGAACACTGGTCTAACTCACAAGACATACCTTGCTTCATAAAATAAGGAGTGGATTCAAAGAAAGTAACATCAGCACAAGTGAAAAAACGATTTAAAACTGGACTGTAACATCTATACCCCTTTTGCGCTCGTGCGTATCCTAAGAAAATACACTTAATGGCACGAGAATCTAATTTATCCACCCCGGGAGCAAGCTGATGAACAAAACACACACAACCAAAAATACGAGGAGGTAATTTAAATATAAGGTCCTGAGGAAAAAGAATGGAGTGAGGTAGTTGGCCTCCAAGAATATCAGATGGCATGCGATTAATTAAATAACATGCAGTTAAAACTGCATCACTCCAAAATTGTTTGGGTACATTCATGTGCAACAAAAGTATCCGAGCAACTTCGATTAAATGTCCAATTTTTCTTTCAGCAACTCCATTCTGTTGTGGAGTGTGAGGACAAGAGGACTGATGAAGAATACCGGACTTAGTCATAAAGGTATCAAAAGGAGTGAAAAAATATTCTTTCGCATTATCACTGCAAAGTATATGTACAGGCACACCAAATTGAGTCTTTATTTCTGTAACAAATGCACAAAAAATGGAATATAGTTCTGAACGATCTTTCATTAAATAAAGCCATGTAACTCTGGAAAAATCATCAACAAAGATTACAAAATATTTAAAACCTAACTTTGAAGTTACTCGACTAGGACCCCAAACATCAGAATGAACTAACAAAAAGGGTTCCGAAACCCGTTTATTGACCCTAGGGACAAAAGAAACACGATGATGCTTTCCTAATTGACAAGACTCACATTCTAATGAAGACAACTGACTCAAGGTAGGGACCAACTTCTTCAAATTTTGTAGAGACGGATGACCCAAACGACAGTGAATTTCAAGAGGAGAAACAGTAGCAGGGCACGCAATCGGACCATTAGAGTTGAGAAAGTAAAGACCATTATGCTCATGTCCTCCACCAATCGTCCTCTTTGTCTTCAAATCCTGAATGACAACAAAATCAAGAGAAAAAATAACTGAACACTGTAGAGATTTAGTAAGCTTACTAACGGACATTAGATTAAAAGGCAAACTGGGAACGTAAAGAACAGAAGGCAGCGGAAGAGATGAGTTAATTTCTACAGTGCCTAGTCCTTTAACTTTAGTTGTAGATCCATCAGCTAAAGTAACATGAGGGAAGGAAGCAGACTCTTGAAAATTAGAAAAATTTCTAGAGGTACCTGACATATGATCAGTAGCTCCGGAATCAATGATCCATGAGTCAAAATTAGATGATGTGGAGAAACAAGCCATAGCATTACCTTTTTGTGCTACAGAAGTAGAGGGAAGAGATGCGTGATTTGCAGTTTGGTACTGCAGAAATTTGATATAATCTTCCTCAGATATGGTAACAGTCTTCTGAGACCCTTGTGCTAAAGAACTTGATTCAGTTTGGTCAGTGGTAACCGTATTAACAAACCGAGGTGGTTTTCCATTTAAATCCCAACAAGTATCACGAGTGTGATTCTTTAAACCACAATGATTGCACTCACGGGTGCCTCGACCTCCACGACCCCCACGAACCGAGTTCGAACGAACCGAGTTCGAACGAATTTTTTTGTTCGATTAACAATCGAGCGAACACGAGCATGTTCGCGAGTTTTAACGAACATTCGCGAACATGGACATAATTATCATTTGACAAATTTTAGGGTTAATTTTTTGGCTGGACTTTTATATTTGGAGGGCAAATTGCTTTGTTTTATTTGTTGTTTTTATGTTAATGTTAGTTATATAGTTAATGAATAATAGAATTTAGTCACTTAGTGCTTTAATTATTTTAGAGAATGATTAATGATTTGTATGGCATATTTAAGGCTTAAAATAATTTGGATTCGAGCATGTTCGCAAACGGCTCGTTTATGTTAAACGAGCCGAACACGAACTCGAACTCGAACATGAACTTTGCTTAACGAGCCGAACACGAACACAGGTTTGGAGTTCGAAAATTAACGAACGAACACGAACGTTGTTCGAATCACTTAACGAACAGAGCTCAAACATGAGATACGCGGTTCGACTCGGCTCGTTTACAGCTCTAGATGGAACATATCATTTCCTTTTATATAGTCAAAATCCAAGTAGCTACTCCATTGAGGTGCTTCCCAAAAATTTAGCAGTCTAACAAATTACTACAGTTTGATAAATTTTTGCTTACGGAATAATAGTAGGATCAAGAGCTAAATTAACCATAATGTGCTGCATTTTCTATTGGGAAGAAACCAAAAAAATCACAAGGAATATGGAAAAAATCTACTGAATTCATGACCTATCAAAAGCATTGAATCCACCAACTCCCATATTAAAAATGAACAACAGCATCACATGGACAAATCTAGTCTCATCAACAGAAAAATAGAAAAAGCTTGATTAAATTGTTGATCAGCAGCTCTAGGGCCGCTAGATAATCACCTAGGTCAGCAGATAATGCAAGTTCAAAGTCCTCTGATAGGCTAGATTTTAAAGGATAGTTCTTGTTGAGGCATCCATGTAAACAAGTTTGAGCAAATTCATTGCTGAAGAACTTACCATGCAGACCAAACTATGAAAATGAGTTCATAATGGTATGTAGAAATTATCAGGTATAATGAATTTTATAAAAATCTAAACTAAATTCAGCTCATTAAAGTGGTAAAAGAAACCCAATCCTAGAAGACTACATTATGACACTTTCTCAGTATGTTATATAATGTATTTCACTGACTAGAAAACTTGATTGCTATCAATCAAGGAGATATGACGTAATCCAAACATAAATATCTCAAAATTTTACCCCCTAAAACACATAATTGGTAGTGTAACTTTATTGAGACTTGCACCTGGAGTGTAAGTTGACCTTGATCATGTTTGTCAGACATTACATTGTTTAAAGGTTTCCATGTATAAACAAGAAATCATAACCACGGGATCTGCTACATGTCATGGAACTACCACCTTTCCAATTGGAGTAGTTTTCAGATGAGAGCAATCCAAAACCCATGATGACCAATTTAGAAATAGCCAAGTACCAAATGGCATTTAAGCCCACAACATAGTGAGATAGGGAGAGCATTTCTTTAATTCCAAATTACAGTACTTTCTTCAAAGGTTTTGGATAAAATGGAAAAATAAAATAAATCCATTCACAATTTTCACAACTTTTTGGGCAAGCTTCTACAGGATTTATCATAACATCCGGCTGCAGAAGAACCTCATCTCAAATATCATATTGCTTGGTGTATTGGAGCTTATGATTTGGAAAATATTTGTCAAACCCTGCAACATAATATCTGCACTCTTTTCATTAAAATGCCAATCCAGCTCCAATGGTTTTAATACTAAGAATAGTTTAACATTTTAGCTAACCATCAGAGTGGAGACCTGTCCAGGTAAGACAGCACACAAGATAGACCACATACAGGCTTAATCCTTTACCCACACAACCTAGTAAATTTTGCGTTACCAAAGTTATCTCACACAGCCTAGTAAATTTTGACTAACTGAAGTTATCTCCTCCAAGAACGATGGTGGAATACTCAAAAAAACCCAAAAATGATGAGTGATTAAAGATATTGTTAAGCTAACTTGGATTGATTTTACAACTGCACATTTTCCCCATCCACATTTGAACATTTAAAAAGACAGTATCATTACTTACCAGCATGGTCACTATTACACACTAAGTGCAGATAGAATGGAATTACTTACCAGCATAGGAGCCCAAATTACACAAATTAAAATGAAGAATAAGCATATCCCATTGCAAAACTTGGTCCATTTGGTCTGCTTCTCCCCTTGCTTGTGTCTAGCCCTATTAAGAACAGCATCACATTTGACGAGGTACAAGCTTGCATTAATGTCCTCCAACTACAAAAAGAAATATACAAACTTCAGTTCTCCAAAACAATTCCTTCAACTTCTTGACATCTCTGTATATTACCAGATCAAGAAAACTAATTAACCAATCTGAAAGAGCTATCCTAGAGACAACCAGGTCAAAGCCATTGATTCCACAATAGAAATAACAGCTCCAAGCAGTAACACAACAAAAGGCTGCCTGAAGAATTCCAAGCATCCATTGGAAATGCAATAATAACCAGCTTAGTCCAACAAACCATACCAATCATTCAGGATGATTGGTATATTAGGTCCTTAATTTATTATGTCACCTTAGAATAATTAGGCTGTACAACCAACTTCAATTTCGCTTTCGTGCAGATGCCAGAGGAACAAATCAAAGTACAAAAATGTGGTTAGAACAAAGAATGTAGACTAAACTGAAATTCATAACCAATTTTGACTTATAAAGACCATTTTTCTTAAAGATTGAAAAGCTCCATTGCAAGGTTTTGACATCTGTGTTGTGTTGTAAAGTCCACTCATTTGGATGATGCAAAGAGATTGTGTTTTAGCTTTGACAAAGATGCTGGACAACCTACCCACAAAAAGTTTTGTGCCACATATATGTATTCAGTAACTCCATTCAATGGCTTAATTTGGTCCATTTTGCCTTTTATAGAACTTGAATTTTTTATGAACCTGGCAGGGCCATTCACAAACTTCAAGCACATATGAGGCCAGACAACGATGATCATGCTCACAAGATGCACTTATTGAAAGTCTTTTTGCACCTTACCAAGGTATAGCAGAAAACAAAACATTGGATAACCTCACCTTCAGCCAATCATACATTGTCAATGCTGTTGTAGTGCACGACCAATCAAGAACACATCGTAGTTCATATAGAAAAGGCAGGGCACGGTAAAGCCGATAACCTAGATAATTCACTCGGGAAACTTTGCTGGTGAGGAACTGCCGGTACAGGATGCTCTTATGTGGTACCCCATATCGGATTTGCATAGCTTGTAGTGACAGAGAAATTGCTTTAGTCAGATATATTGCACGAAGAGCTAAACCTGCAGTGTTTTGCTGGGAGGTATCCATGTGCCAGGCATACTGTGTGACCGCACAGGTAAAAAGGATAAGATTGAACAGATAGAATATAACTTTTCCTGTGGCAAAAGAACAGAGGTAGATAACACGATCAACTACGATCAAGAAGAAGATAGCCTGCATAAACATGGGAATAAAATTTATTACAAGTTAGATAATCTTAAAGGAATGCAGCTATAAAACACATAATATTATCCACTGCTATAACAATCAAAAAGCATTGCTCAACCAAAATAAGAAATATTCAAATGAAGTATCAAGATTGCTAACTAGGCCAAAGCATCTGCTTGCTACTGCAAATAGGCCAGGTTGATTAAGTAAATTATTTCATCCTAGCTCTTCATATTTTCTTTTAGCTACAAGATTTCAACATTATTTTTAGGAAATCAAAAGGCAAAGAAAAAAAAGGTAATATATACATACCATTAGAATAAATACGAACTCTTTGGGAAATTGGTCCTCAAGCTGATAAACCTCGAGAAACTCAGTTTTGTTTTTTATGACAGATTGATAAAAAATAGCAACCAAAAAGAAAACAGACAAGTCTGCACCAAATATGTAGGCATAGAGATCAACTTCTCTTTTACCACCTCCAATAGCAGAGATTATATGGTAAGGAAATCCAATTCCCTCTGTAAAACCAGCATTATGTGCTTCAAGGATCTCTTTTGCTACATCAGCCGCTGGTGTTAGGGACTCGTACTGTTCTTTGGCATTACATTCCTCACTACGTGAGGCATAAACCACCTCAAAAACAGCTAAGGCAACATTTGGGTTTTCTGTACTCTTTTCAATACTTTGAATTTGAACCCTACTAGCACAAGAACAATGATTTTCATTTTTGCATCTCTCATCATGAACAAGCTGTAGCAGACGATTAATTCCAGATTCTATCCTCTCTGGTTGAATTCCATCTTCTGGCCACAAATGAACATCCATAGACAACTGGACAAAGTATGGAGGAGATTCTGCTTCCTGTGTCAGTGATTTCCAATATGTACTGCAGCTGCTAATCACCATTTTGACCATTTTTTCCACTAGCTGGACCAGCTCCTTTGCTGTCCCACTCAAAGTAGAAACCTGCAGAACCTCCTTGCGGTGCAACAATCTCCCCTTACTAAACCCTGGCGAAAACCATTCACCGTCTTTGGCAGTTATAGAGCTCTGAACAAGAGTAAATAGATACACTAGAAAAAGAGGCAATGTACTTATCACAAATGATGACTTTATCCTCTTTGTTGGAAACCCAAGTTCTTGAAGAAGGCTTGACTGGATGCTGAAACCACAATGTTGGATCACAATTTGATACAGGTACTGAATCAATATATAAATTTCAGTGTAGATTAGCATGATAACCCAAAAAGTGTAACTTGGCCCTGTGTTGACACAAAGAGCATACAAGAATAGAGCTGCCAAATAAACCATCGAAAGCAAACTAAAGTTCCACAGAAATACCAGTACAAAGCAAATGTAACAAACAACATCATTATTCGACCGCATCTGAGACCAAATATGGCCAAAGATCCTTCCAATCTGCAAACTTGCAGTATCAGATGCTCTACTTCTGTCAGATTGCACAGAAGAGGCACGATCCAAGCATGCGTACCTCACATTTTGGCTCTCACTCTCCTGAAAGACCCCATCCTCAGCAGCTGTGTGCTCATTTGTATCTGAATCTTCAGGTGCAATATTAAGAAAGCTCACAATATTGTTAACTGCTTGGTTTCCTATTGATTGCACTTGAGAAACACCATCACCAATCAACTGTACAGCAGAGACTAAAGGGTTTTCACTTGCTCGGCCTCTGCCTTTCCTTTCTCTGTCAGACTCCAGAAATGAACCTTCACTTGTACATTCCTCAAGCTCAGTGATCTCTCCAAGAGGAGATTCTATTGGTTGCTTTGCAAATTCCATTGTAAAAGGACTCTCTCCTCTTACATTACTTGGAGAACCATACAGATCGAATGCAAAACCTGAATCAGGATGAGTATTAATATCCTGCTTTTCAAGAATTCCACTGTTCATATTTGTATTTACTGTGGCATTCTTCCTCTTTCTAAGCCCTTCACTTGCAGGAGAAGAGTCATCACACGCAGATGTAGAGTTCATATTATGAAGCTGGATTTGTAAATTAAGCATCTCGGACTTCATCTTCTCTACTTGGAAGTTGCGCTGGCGCTTTTTCTCTTCAGATTCACGAATGTGAAGAAACTGTTCAGTTTTCCATGCAGCTTTCTTCTCTTGCTCATGTACAATAGCCCCAATTTGCTCCGCTTCAAGATACCGAAATACATAATCAAACTCAGGGGAGGAAAACATGTATGACTGTAGTGATACCAGAACAAAAATGACTATCTCAACTAAAGCAGATCTGGAGGTTATCCGGAACCCATAGTCATATTTGTAGAATCCAATCACCTCATATATGTAATCAATAGTTTCACACTTTCCCCCACTAAAATCACCCACAAAAGGAGATTGATATGCAAGAGAAAGAACAATAACTCCAAAATTGTATATGCGCAGATACTTAAAGATGCTGTTTTTCTTTTTTAATATCGTAAGCCTCATCCGAAAGAAAATCAAAGCAAAAGCAAGATATCCTAGGTGCAGAATATCATATTCAAGGGTTCCTGTAATCAGAACCAAAGCAAGCACAAGATCTAACAGATGACAATAGCAATAAAGCCGCAAATAGTCAAGGAAAGTCCACATGCTTTTGGTTTCAAATGACAGATCTCTCCAAACAAAAGCGTTTTTCCTTTGAGAAACCATCTGGCGATATGTAAATGATCCAGAGAAACTTGAAGCACAATCTGCACGGAGCTTAAAACATGCAAGCAGGAAGACGACAAAGCAGCTAATCAGCATTCGGGGATCATCAACAATAAGCCCTGCAACAAAATAAGCAGTTAAATATAAGTCTTGGTTGAATTAGATACATCAGAAAATCAGTACTTGACAGGAAATGGAAAATTCAGCACGTGGTTAGGCATTGTCTCAGAAGTGCACTATGTTCATTTATCTCCTAGGCCACCTCGAAAATTAAATGTAACTGAAAAAATAGGAACTTTTGTATACAGGAAATTTGATAAAGAAAAAATTATTAGCAGAAGAATAAGGCCAGGGGGGGCCTCCACAAAGAAAAAAGGATGTCTCGGCCTAAACTCAACTGGAAGAAAGATAAAAAATGAGAGGAAGGAAAAAAAATCTTTTCAAACTATATTCCCAACAAATGCAAGTGAAGCCTGAGATGTAGCTATTACCATGCTAAAATACCTCATACCACCAAGCCCGTATTGACCAGCCCCAAAATGTGCACGCATGTCTGTGTGGGTGTCTGCATGTGTGTCTCTGTGAGAGACAAAGAGAGTGTGTGTGAGTGAGTGCAAGACCAACCTTTCAGAAACTACATGCTAGATCAAGTTTTTGAAATTCTATAATTGAGCAGTCAAATACTTAGCAAATAGGGAAAAAAGAACATGGGCAGTGGATAATACATCTAATCTGAGAAGTTCAACATGAATTACAGATTCATACCCAACCAACAGCTCCTGCAATGAGCAAAATATAAGTTTGAGATTTTCCAGCAATCATGGCAATGCACATTAGTGTCACTTGAAACATCTGGATCCAACGGCATGAGGTGCTTCCACATGGCAAAGTATTCAAACACAAGGATAAGAGAAAACAAGAAGACGAACATAGGCCACAGTTTCCGAAGTATATGCCGCTCTAAAAGAGCACAAGCTGCAAGTGATACAATATACAGCAAAGAAATTGCATTCAGAAGAGCAAAACTGGCCAATAGTAGTGCAATCATGTTGATCTCAAGGCCAAAAAGGTTAAACATGTTCTCTATCCAAAACTTCAAATATATCTTCAAGGTAGTCTTTTGGATTTCAAACCTCTCCCTTCTCAAGGCAAGAATCCTCTTCTTGTTCCACTTATGACTCTCCTTCACACTCCCCCATATATGCCCAAATGAGTATTTTCTAGTATTGTGATCCTTATATCCTACTCCAGCCGTGGACACATCATGAGATGATTGGTAAAGACCAGGGCTGAATGTAGGCAATGAACTACTCGTGACTCCTATCTTTCTTGAAGATCGTTCATTGAAACTTGATGATGCGTCATTTTCACCATTGGGCACTGAAACAACTGGTAGGACGTCTTCTGCAGAGACAAAAAGTGGGCAAGGCTCCTCCGAATTAACTACATCTACAAGAAAAGTGGGCATCCTCTCCAACCAATGGAAGACATTATACTGAAGGGTACATGCAGCAATCACAAGAACTTTTGCCCTCAAGCCAGCTTCTATACCCCAGAAATTTGGTTTGTATACCTGAAACCCCAGGAGGAGGGATAGATCATAGTGCCTTTGTCCAGGAAACATTTCAGCATATTCACCCCACATCTGAAACAGATACTCAGATGTCACTAGAACACCCGTATAGATCAAGAATGATTTGGATGGAATTCGGGAAGCTTTAGATAAAGTTGAACAAAAGACAACACCAAGAAGGTACAAAACACCAAATGCGCTTATTGGAGATAATGAAGCATAAAACAATGCAATCAACAGGATCTTATGACTGTGCCAGATTAGGCAGCGTCTGATGAACCCCAAAATCCCAAATTGAGATAAATCTGATTCCTCTGATCTAACACTTTTGCTCTGTCTCCTCTCATAGCTATAAAGTTGCATTACGACTACAATTGCTAAAGACTCCCAAACATTTTCCAGTAATGAAGAACCGGGGTTATAGCCAAAATACAACTGAAGAATGAATTTTGCAGACATCCAAGCCTCAAAAGTGGGGAAAATGCTCAAACTATAGACGAAAATGAAGACTATGATTGCATACGCTTTTAGTGGAAACCAAAGACGTCGTTTTGTTCTTTCCACAAGTTGTCTTCCGATAATCCAGACAAGGAGAAGGAAAATGTACCCAAATGCCAAACAATTAGGCCTCACCAGGTAAACTGTTAGAAGAATGGTCAGAAACGCGATGTAGGTTCCAAATGATCTATACACAGACAAAAATTTCTTCCCTATCGCGCCAAGATACAGAGCAATTCTTTTCTCTGAAACAAGAGCAACAAAAATCAATCTGAAACAATAGCAAGCTAGTAATAAAGCAATAAAGAATGAAGAGAATGGAAACAGTATTCCTTTATTCTTAGTTAACCAGAATTGTAAAACTTAAATGCAACCCCATCTCCCAGTCGAAGAAACGAAGAAGTGACAGGGATGCCTCTATAAATAACTAATTCATGATCAGCCACTTAGGAAAAAAAATTGACAAAAAACAGCTTATCATGACATAGGCCCTGGTCTCGTTTACTCTAGATTTTGCTATTTTTGATTATCAAAAGTGATTATATAAGATTATCAAAAGTGATTATATAGAATAATCAGAATCAGAAAAAGCTACTCTTTGGTTGATTATGGATTTTAGCTATTAAAAAAAATCTATTATCTGAATACCAAAGCAAGCGAAACATCACAAAAACTCATTATCCAAAATCAGAATCCATAATCAGCTAAAATAATCCATCAAGGACAAACCCACAGATCCAGGAACCGATTTCAGCAACAAACTATATTACGCAATGACTACATATAAAATGTCGAGTAATGAAGCAAATTGCGGCAAGATTTACCATGGGAGGCATTGTCATGACTGTCCCTGGTGCTTGAGGTGGCATAGACTGACAGCAAAACTGATTTGTTCAATCCAGCTCTCAAAATGCTAAATCCAACTGGAGGACTAGGTGTGTGCTGTATGATTGCAGAAAATGAAAACAACATTTCGAACCCATGATTATGAATTGCACAAAAGCATGCAAGCAGAGCTATTTCGAGGAAATCCCAAGAACTATCACTTTCAAGGAGACCTACAGAATTTTGCCAAAGAACATTAAGTAAAAATCATATATGGCCAAGAAATTTAAAAGCAGAGAGAGAGAGAGAAAGAGATATGATTTGCTATCTGTCACTTTAACTACCCTCTGGCAGGGGCACACCCTTATTCCACACCTCCCAAAACATAAGTTTCCATGATGCAGATAACCGTACCTAACTGAGAAAGGATTCCCATGCTTAAGGAGCTTTTCTTCTCCAGAGTTTTTGAGACCAAATTAAGCTGAAGAATGTACAGTATGGCAAAATGAGCCTCACAAAGAAGAATCAGAGATTGGCGCGTTCTTTTACTGATTTCATGGCTCAAAAGATACATGAAGAAGAATATCACTGCAAAAGATGACAGGATTTGAGACAAATTCAAAAAACTGTACAGAATCAGATTGGACAAATGCTCCTAATCCAATCCCTCCTATAACTCAATTAACCACACAGAATGAACTGCCCTAGCCAATTGCAGATATCATTAGTGTAGAAGAATGACAGTATCTGTGCTGACATACCATACACGGCATGGATGAAACCAGGTTTCATTGCTATAAGGAATATCAGCACCAGTACGATGGCACGAGAACATTTGCGCAATCCCCAAGCTATTGTAGCCACAATAAGGACTTTGGTTTCTTCATTCACTGCATTCATAGAAGACAATTGCGTATTAGAAAGCAGCACCAACATTAGAAACTCAAAGGTCAAAAGTTACTAGTACATTGTCTATGATGAGAGAGGGAAAACTATTCTTGTCTATGCAATAGCAAGATGCACCTAAAAAGATAATTTGAAAACAAATTAATGATAAATAGAAAAATACAGCAAAAAGGGGGCAAAGGAAGCAACATTGACTTACTATAGCTATAAATATAAGCAGCTAAGTATCAGCATTAAGAGTGGATTCAAAACAATTTGCCACCCAGTCCAACTAACTGGTGGTAAAGTTGATTAGAAATATTTACCGAAACGAAGAAAAAAGGATAAATATGTAACAAAACTTGAGTTGGTTATCCAATAAGCAGCACAATAAGAAGCACAACAGCTAATAAAGACATGCCTTACAGTCAACAACCAGAAGGCTCACTCAAATCAATAAAATGCTTGAAAAACAAAAGAGTCGAACAAAAAATAGGAACATAACTAATAACAAGAATTGGAATTGTTTGTACAAAATCGTTTTGAAGCTATATATCTTAACAGGAAGAGAACACTTTAAAACACCTAAAACACAGCAAGGACAGAATTTCTGTATTTTTTATCAAGAAGGAAGAACCATCATGAAATTTGGCATCACTGTATAGCATCTAATGACCTTCCTCTTTGTAGTAGTCCTTTGATGACTGCCCCTCCTCATCCGATATGCAGAGAAAAACAGTATTGTTAACTAGGTTACCAAGAGCAACAAGAATTCCAAGACAAAATTGAGCAAGTAGGAAGAAGCCAGGAATGGGATAATGCCACAGCCCAACCATCTCCCAGATTTCCATGTCCTGATGCAAAGAGAATAAGGTTTTCAATTATCATAAAAACAATGAAGTTGAAGAAAAAAAATACAATTTGGCCACACGGGTTTAACCTTTCCAAGTTTCCAATTCATGAAAGCAAATGCCACATTGAAGACATATGTGCTGACCGCCCACAAGAGAATAAAGACAAGAAGCAACCCATTTAATCGGTGCAGACGGAACAAGGAAGGGAAAACATATAAAATGTACCCAACATATGCAAGCAATCCAAATGCACATATACTCGCGAAGTGGAAGCTCCAAAATGTAAGTGCAAACAAGGAGACCTGTCAAATTGATCACTGGAAGTTTAAAACATAAGAATTGATAATGATAATACAATGACAAGAATATTAATAACCAACAAAAGTTAGTTTTAACCAACCAATCTCAAGAAATGTAGAAACATAATTAGAAAATACTAAATTAAAACAACGGCAATGATGACTCTGACTTGTTACTCTAAGCCAAAGTTTTCACACAATAGGCTGGAAATTTAATTTTTCTACAACTATAAGTTTCTTCCAACAAAGTTGTGATATTAACCAGTGCATCAGCAGTTGCATGAAAGTACTCGTCCACCAACCAGGCTCTGCAGATAATTTCTGCTTAAAAAGGCTCTTTCAACATTCAAAAGGGTAAATAAATGGCATTTCTTTTGAATGAATGGCATTAATCAGATAAAATAGCAAAGGTTTGCAGAAATTGGGTTCATGAGCTCGTGTTATTGGTCATCACGTGAAATGAATAAAATGAACACCTTGGCATATTTAATCAGTCCTAACTCCAAGCAAGATATCTGAAGTGGAAGAAAAAGAAATTTTGAACCAGAAGATGAAGTAGAAAACATATTTTTCTCCCCAACACGAAAACTCGAGCAGATGTAAGCAAGCAATGAAAAGTTAAAGCAATGTATCCACTTATCTAAGTTTGTTAAGAAGCATGTTTAAGAGCATAAATCAAGTAGCAGTATCCAAATCCAGGAATAAACTGCAAAAGAATTGGTGATGCATGCATCCAATTAGTAACACCAATGTGATTAACAATTAAATGGATGAACAGAAAAAGCATGCACATAAGCCTTGTAATTCCACTGCAAACAGAACAAACATAATAATGCAGCCAGTCTTACAAGCCAATTCTAGTAAATCTTGCATCAGATACTCCTCATCTCCTCTTCTTTCTCCTAATTTCCTTGTAAAGACACTTGTCCTGAACTTCAATCAAGTTTCAATGACAAGTTGTAGTTATTGTGTTCAGGATTGAAAGTGAATTTCTAATCAAGGACTAAGCAAACCTGATTCCACAAAAATCTCAGTATCGGGTGAATAGTTCAAAAAGGGATAAAGGTGACTCGCAAAAATCCCCTAATTTTCAGCCAAATGCTTTAGTAAAAGGACCAACTAGTTACTCGGGAAACTGAAATCAAGACAAAAAACAGGTTTCTGAATCGTAAATGGAATGTCAAAAGAAGATGGGCTTCATATATTTAGAGAAAGCCTCGTCTTTGGGCAGTAGTTTAATCCAAAAGCTAACTTGAAGTCATCTTCCTTTGGGTCTTGGATTTTGACGTCTCAACGCACCTCATGCTTTTGTAAATTGTAGACAAGCATAATTAGATAAGGAGCTTCTTAAGTGAGCAAATGGAACAAAATCTGGAAAGAAACAACAATTTATACAAATTAATGATACTTACCGGAAAACCATACGTGAAAAAGTTGATAGTGAAAAACCGGAAAACTGTTCTCCTTAAAAATACATTTGCATGCCTTACACCAGATCTGTTTGTAGCAATACTAGTTCAGCAAAACATGGAAGATGAAAATGGAACAAAGAAACCAAAGAAAAAAAAGGAAGAATACAGTATGTTTTGGAGAGGCAGGTTAGGGGGGAGGGAAGAATTAATAACTAAGAAACAACAATCTTCCTTAGAAGTCCCCTAGTGTCAAAAGATTGTCATGAGAATGGAAGATCATAAGAAAACCAAGGATTAAAAAAAAAATTCTGGGCAGAACTAGAAACAGGAAGTACAATAAGAAGACAAATAAAACCAAGGAAACTACTTGATTGCTTCTAAAAGTTTTCTTTTAATGCAGATTGAATCATGTAAAATTTAGCTATCCATTTCATAGAACTTTAATACCTAGATTTTTTTGTGCATTCCAACCTCTTGACAGCACTATGAAGGGGTATTACTTTCTCAAGGGGATTGTGTCAATCAAGACTGTTGATTAGATTTACAATATTCCTTTCAACCCAAATAAGTTAGAGTCAAGAGCAAATTAATTTCTATTTTTCATTCTTGATGTTAAATACCTTTGGTTCTTATCAACCAAAGTGCTTCCTTATATCCTGGATGAATTTGTTGTAGTGAGATGTAAGAGAGTGAGTAGAGAAGAAAATAAGCAGAGGTAGAAAGAAGCAGACATGGAAAGAAGTGAATAAGAGAATGAAGAGGAGTAACAAGAACAAGGGATAGAATAAAAGAGACTGCTGCTGATTTCTACTCAGATGATAAAAGTAAATGTTCCATGGTAATTACCTCAATTCACGAATAAAAAATGGATGCCTTGAGGGCAGAAGTTGCTCGGTCAAGCTTCCCTCTCTTATGGACATAAGGAAATCCATTTCCTCCAAATCACACTTCACGCAGGAGAGCTGTATTACATTAAGCATCAAAGTGTTCATAAGATAAACTCGTATACATGTAACTACAAAATGGAGAGAGAGACAAATGAAACAATATAGGAGAAGTTCATTTTTTACAGCTGAATGTTCTGCCAATAAGAATTTTACTGATAATGAAGCGTGAAGAAGCATTTCAAAATTCAGTGACAAAAACTAAGTGAAATTTAGAGTCCAAAATCTTTATCTAAAACATACACATATATACTCAGCTAGATCCTAATTCTCAAGGGATTAACAAGCATGAAGGAATTTAATTTCCATCCAAGAAGTAATTAAGCCAAAAAAAAGCCCTAGTGAAAAGCAGATCAGGAAGTAAAAGCAATATATTGTAATGCTAGATAAAGATACTCTTCCAAAAAGCTCAACATATTAGAATTCAAGGTAAAACTAGAACATCTACTGAATCCAAGAACATGCATAGAAATTGGCTCCAGAACACTAACACAAATATCCAGAAACAAGAAACAAAAACCATCTCCATCAAAATAGGAGAAAGGAGTCGCTACTCTTCCAGAGTTCCATCATGCCTCTCGCCAACTACAAATTCTCTACTCGCGAACCTTTATCTTCACACTAGGGTACTGGGAATTGTATTACTGTGTTTCAAATCTTTGTCTCTATTCAATTTTAAAGTCAAATTATCTATCTCATGCAACTTATTCTAACTCAACCTACAAGGTACCCCGTACTGTACAGTACAGTAGCAATGGTTCCCAATTTGTCATCTCATATAATCCTACAGTAAAATACCAGCAGACTTCCGTAGAAATTGAATGTTAGTCACGTGCCCGAAACTACCCTGTCCAGGACATCACTTCTTGCTAGGGCAACTTTAAAGGACTTGGAAACAAAACAACCTACAATGGACAAACTCATAAATCCTGCTGCTAATTTGATCGCAATGAGGCTATGTCAAAAGTTGGAACCATCAAACCCAAAAGAAGAAGTTTCAGACACCAAAAAGATCGTTGAATAAGGGAAGTTAAGCATAATGAAGAATATCAATTCCAGATAAGAGAGAGAACAACAGAGTCTCCTGTTTTCCTTAGTAATAACCCTCCAAAGCAGGGTTCCTTGTATTTCCAAATCACATTGAATCATTTTACTATCTCCTCTTCCTAGAAATAAACTTTAATCTATTGAAGAAACTGAAAGAAAAAAGTATGGTATAACAAATGGAACAACCTGCTATAAAAGTCCAAAATTCAACTAACTCTTCTGTGAGCCTCTTATTAGCTGCAGCAAAGATGACCATCAATTATCTTCATAGCAAAACCCCTTTTCTTCCAAACATAATATTAGATGAATAGCTGAGAAAGCTTTATTTTACCAACCAACATGATCCTAAGCATTTTTCACTTCAAGAAAGTAACAAAAGTAAAGGGAGAACAATGACTGATACTTGTGCCATACATAAAAGCTCAGACCACAATAGCAAATTAATAATGACTCCACAAAATGTCACTAGGAATTTAGAATCTTGATAAATTCATTTTTGAAACTATAGGAATAGCTGTATAGAACTCCGCCAACAATCCCAAACTATATTCTGAATGTATAAGGTGGTAAGAAGTGCATACCACATGGTAAAATGCCATCAAAGAAAGACTGGAAGAAATTTCTTGCAAATCAGATTTTGGAGAAAGTTTGTACAGACCAACGAAATTGGCTATCGCGTTGAAAATCTCTGGGAAGCCAACTGGGAGCTGATACACATACAACAAGCAAATGCTGAAGCCAGCATAAAGCCAAAGAAGCTTCCACCACCTTGAATATTAAATAATCCACCAAAAGTATTAGGAAACTGAATGAGAAGGTTTTGGGCATCAGAAATGTATTTCCATATATTTTGGCAAAATAAGAGGACGTATACTACAGAAAACAAAACAGAAGAAGAACTGCAATAAAAATATACCTGAAAAGCCCTAAAAAGTTGCTTGTTAAAGACCAATCCACAAGACCAACACAGCTACAGACAAAAAATGGTAAAGAAAGCCAAGAAGGATTACTAATTCCAACAACCAACTGAATGCCAGGCAGCAACAAGCAGGAAGCCACCCTAAGACGAGAACCTTCCATATAAAATCCCAGAAAGGGGAAGAAAATGTCATTTTGTCAGAAAGGAGCTCAAATCACAATCATCATATGAAGGCAAAAAAGCAAGAATAAAATTAGTCCGATAATGCTCAATATACTTGACCTAAAGACTAACCAAGCTACAGGATCTATGACAAACTTGAAACGAGGAAAAGCATGCAATGTAAAAGTCTTCACTATATAATTATTCACTTTTGACTAACAGGCTAACAGGTTGGGCTCTTGAAAGAAGTTGAGCAGGGCAAACATTTATAGCAGATAGATCATTTTCAACTTTGCTGATTCAGAAACAAGAAGTGTAAGAAGGCTTTTGCCACCGTGGTGTCTAGAGAGGGTAAGACATGAGTTCTTACAGTACGAACTAAAAGCTGTCAGTGAATGGACTTATGCATTCAAGTCACGATAGAGTAACAATACTTTTGCAGCAAGGGCAGCAGTAAGCTGATCTAAGAAGACAAAATCACAAAATATACCAATGCATCAGCGACGTATGACAACTTGGATCATCTGCTTATTCACTCTTTTTCTTGAACTTTGACATTTATTCTTTTTCCTCTTAGGGATTTGTCATCCTACTTTTATGCACTCTCTTCCTATTATTAGAAGATTTCTTTCTCAATCTCATGAGGAAGATAAAGAGAAAGAGCTCACATTTTTCATATTCATTATATTACTTTGTCATTCTAGTAGATGCCACTGTAAGTAGCCCGACTAAAAGTTGAAGTATATTTTCAAAACAACCTATTTTGTGCCATTCTTTTTAACAAACTATTTGAACATATAAACAAGCCTTAAAAAATCTTACCTCATGTTTTAACCATGGCCAGAAAGATTATGTAAATCTACTTATGAAACACTAGGTGCCACTGAAATGTTCCATTTATTCTTATTCATGCCCTGATACAAATGAATCACCTGTCTTCAGATATCAAAATAGTGACATGATTCATAACTCGTAACATGTTTAAGTATGACTTGTCGATTGCATGACTAATGAGAATAATAGATGAAGAAATAAAAGATTCAAACAAAACAGACATAGAGTGAATAATTACAAACCTATATGCTCAACCACTGAAGAAAAACAGGCCCAACAAGAATCTTGTAATCGGAAAAAGCCAAATCTGTTCCACTGGATCTCAGTTAGCGCAATGACAGCAACTAAGAGTTGTATAATCAGGAGATATACAACCAGTGGAGATCTCCAGGATTGAAGTCTGCAAAACCATGTCAATTCTTGTACTTTGAGAGAGGATGTATGATAAAATTGAAAAGCAGAGAAGAGAAATGAAGTCAAACAATGCAACACATGTAGCCTGTGCACAAGAAAATCAAATTCATATTACTTCATCAATCCAATGAGCTTCATCCACCAGGCATCTGCAACCGTCCATTCCGAACCCATAATTGCCGATATAACAAGAAAGGTCACTTGTGAAAATATCACAATAAGAGAAAATAAAAAAATGCACCATAGCAACGAATTTCTGCATCTGAAGCGAAATCCTAAAGAATGAAGGAAAAAGTTGTGTTAGAACAGTTGGGAGAAGACAATGCAACATAGAGTTTTATACATATACATATATATATTTCTATCTCTCTCCTATATAGATATTTATCTCCCCCCTCCGTCCCTCCCTCCCTCCCTCTTGGTCCTAGAGACTAATGTTTAACAAATCACTACAGAGAAGAGGTCCACACTGATAAGCCAAGAAAGGGATAAGCAACTACCTCTTTTTCGGGCCACAAATCGAATTACAAGAGAAGCCACCAAATTAATGAAAGAAATCAAACTCCAATTTAGTAGACCAGCTGCAAGGAAGCAGAGAAGTAAGTGCAGGGACAGAAAGTAAAATACTAATAAGTGCTTATAGAAAGATGTCGATATTGCTGATTGTGTAAGAAACAAAAGCATGACGAACAATGATAGTAGTACAATATAAGAAGCACCTACATTTACAAAGTTTCTATTCACAACCAACAAATATTTCATCCTACACGTCCAAAGAGTTACAGTAGAGACGGGAACACCAAATAAAGTTGAGTCTCACTACTTAGCACAAGAAAAAGAGGAGGCATGGTTACAAAAATTCAAGATATGACTTGTCAACTACACTAAACATGTTTCATAATGATTTCCATCATAAGGAAAGTGCTTCTGTCTATTCTCATGATAGACAAAACCCTGCAACAGAATATTTATCCACAATTCCGGCCACCCATTTCCAATCCCGGGGTCAAATACATGTTTACAATCGAGATCATATGCCCCCTTAAGATCCACAAAAATAATTACAACTCTAATAAATGCTAAAATATTTGCCCAAAGACATATTCAAACACCTGGATCATTTGTATCATCTTTGACGTGTAAAATTCGATCAACAAGAAACGCCTTTGTCGGGGAAGAATAATGGGAATACAAAATGACCCACGTACCTATCAAAAGCAGCAAAGGCAGCACAAAATCGCCAAGAAAACTTTCCATGATAAGCCCTTTCTTCAATTCAATCCCATTACAAATCAACGGGGCTAATCCAGGAACTGGTTTGAATCACCTTGATCCAACGCGAAAATCCCAGTTACTGAAACCCATTAGTTTTCGTTTAAAGAGCTCAAGATGGAAGGTTGGTACACAGAGACAAAATCAGAAAACCCCGACGAGTCCTTACTCGTTAAAGAGGGGCTTTCTTTCTGATAATTCTTACTCTCTTATTTGTTGTTGCATAGGCGTAGCTGTAAAATTCTACTACTTTGGAAAGGATGGGGAGTGAAATCACAAATGTATGATCTGAATGTAAAAAGTCTCAGTACAGTTCTACTAAATAATCTCAAACTAGATTGCTAAGTACCAGCGATACTCATCCGACAAATGGTGGGTGTGCTCTTATAGTCGTATGATTCCGATGACAAAGACGATGCGCCCAGTCGCATATTCGGGTAATTTCACGTTAACCCCTTACATTTTGTTTAAATATATCCGACTGCCTAATGGGTTTTGACAATCGACAGATTTACCTCATCTAACTTTATGTTGGGAAAATCGGATTCGGATTTTAACTCATGTTTTATAATCATATTTTTTATTCTTATTACTGATGATATTGCATGATTGGTTTGGAATTTGTTATAAGGCTTGCGTGTGAAAGGAAAAAAAAAAACTACCTTTTATTTGTGCGTTCTTTGCCAATTCAACTTTCGTAAATTCTCCACTGAAAGGGATAAAAAAGATCCCAGTGTATTAAGATCCCGTTCTTAGGCTAGGATATAAAAAGTCCACATGTGTTATTTAAAAAGATTAGAAAAAAATGTACAAATACATATTTTTCTTTAGAGTATACTTGACACATCGAATTGGCTCGAGTTTATATATTTTTATTTTTATATTATTAGTAGTCAAATTACATATATGTCTTTATTGTTTTTATTGTTAATTTGGCTAAAATGTTAATTTATCTATTTTAAAATATCATACAATATATAAAGGGGGAACTAGTAGGTCAACTCCAATGGTTACGAGAGAACTCTTAGAATTCTCTCAACTATCAAGATACGGCGTAGCATGACTTTATGTAACCTGGACATAACTTTCCTAATTAAGTTGATTCTGATTCGAGCAAAAACTGAGATCATTTTATTCCCAAATGTATGCTTTTCCTGTCCGTTGCAGAATTAATCTGTCAATAGCTATATAGATGGATGTTCCCCTAAGCCTGAAGATTTCACGCACACGGAACAATAAGGAACTTTTTCGTCTAGGGCAACAGCTTGGAATGCTTCAATGAATTGCTTCGATTTGACTATTAGATCTAAACAGATGACCTATTTATTCTTCATGCAAGCACCATCCACCAAAAATCACTAAGAAGCAAGTCTGCAGACAGCAGACATAACCCACAAATACATGCATACACAAATAGGACGCTTCTTATGTCATGAAAGCAATTTGTCTTCATTGCCTTGGTCAATTGACACTAACAAATCTGTCGATGATTCAAAAAGATCTCAACGAAATACACGTCTAAACTAAAGTTAAAAGCAAAGACGACTGCAACAAAATGAATTTCCTCTCTCCCTCTCTCTCTGTCTCTCTCTTCAGGGAGATGGCTTTTGCCACCAATTACAGGCACATATAAATCAAACACTGATGTTAAACTTCAGCTTCTTTCTCAACAACAATGACATAGAATTCAGCCCCAAGCATCTCATGTATATCAAGATTATGCAACCTGCTCAAATCAACTATCTCAGTTATCAGTTCCGCAGTAACCATGAAACGTAGAGTGGATAATACTCTGACAGCATTTGCTATTCTACATAAATGTTGCCCAATCTCTAGTGATGTGTGACTTTGTTCTTGATCATCAGAACTCGCCGAACCACTTAAATTGGCATTCTCTTGCTCGGATTTGATCATTTGATCCGCTACCATGTCATCTTTGGCTTCAACATGTTCACCAACCCAAATGAATCCATTACTGCCGAGTATCAAGTCAACTCCATACAGGTCTAGGTGGTGGAAATGTTGTTTGCGCCTCTTTACCAGATAAGGGGGGATTCTGAGCAACTGACCTCTATGAAGCTGTTGAAAAAACCAAAAGGAAACAAAATGAGTAAGTTGAAAGTAATAAAAGTAAGTATAATAGGTGTAATGGTTTAGATCGAGAGGCTGAGGAAGGAGATTCGAGGTGTGGGTAATACCAATTGGACATGGAGATAGCAAAAACATTGATTAACTCCTCGAGACCCGAAACAATTCCTCTTTGAACACCTTAGCATTTTTTCAATGATCAGCACCAAGAATACATAAATTTCAAACCCAAGGATCACAGATACACCTTTCCATACTTCTGACTTCTTGCTTGTAGGTGTAGACTTCCATCATGTTGGAAACCACGGATTACAGCCTGAAACAGCACAATCTTTGCTAAATAATCTAAAAGTTAGGTGCTCGAAGTATTAAGTTCTTGAGATCAAAGGTTCCTCAAAATTTAATGATTACTGGTAATTATTAAATTATAAGGGATTAATTTCCATATGTCAAAAGATTCAAATGTAAAAAAAAAATTGTGATGAAATTAAAGAAAAACAACAGGACATTCAAGCTTATTTATCTATTTATATTTATTTTTGTAGGGGGGGGGGGAGCTGGTGGTGGCGTTTGCAATCCTGGATTTCCATAAGATATATCATGCAGCCTTACAACTAGAAATTCTGATACCAGCAGCACCAGAAAAGGTGTAGAATTGGTGGACTTACACAAACAACGTCATTCTCTTCAAATATACTGCGTATGTTGAGTTCATCAATAGCAGTTTGTCGCCTCTGGAGAAGATAATAATGAGATGAAGTAAAACTTTTGGATGAGATCGAATAGAACTCACACTGTCCAATTCAAAAACAAATTTATATTCTGTCTTCATGGACAACAAGTGGGTATTCCATGTCCTATCCTCAAGGATGACAATGTGCTCATCCAATCCCCTCCTCATGCACCCCCCAAAAAAAAAAAAATTGAGTCATCTATGTAAGATGTGGAGCTCAAGTAAATAACTATTTCAGCACAGTCTGGAATCGAAGCCAGTGTACGGACGTTATAAAATGAGAGATACTCTATCTACTAAATGGATTTAACAAAGATGGGGTCACTGGTTACTAAATAAATAAATAAAGACAGCAATTAACAAAGACCACCAATGGATTTAACAAAGACTCGGTAGAGGGATTGGGTAATCAGTGGGTCACTGGTTGAACCGATGAATATTAATTTAATATTTATAAATATAAAATAGTAATTTTAATATACATAAAGTATATAATAAATATTTTTAGATACTAATTATTATACTTCGAAAGATGTATAATAAATATATAGATATTAATAGAAGATTTAATTTCATTTTATTGCACTTTTAAATAAATAAATAATATAGTCAAGTATAAAACAAAATTTATATCGCTTGTTTTAAAAAATATAGCATTATTTTTTCATTATTTTATTTTTTATCTAAAAACAAAGTAATTTTCTAACTAATCAAATATTATCAGTTTAAAAGTTAAAAGGATTAATTATAAAATAAAAAATAAACAAGTTTATTAAAAATATATTTAGTTATCAAATAAAAACTAAACAAGTGATAAAGTCTATATATATTTAAATGAAGATCCAATAAATAAATCTTATCAAGAGCATATATACATTTGTTTAAAAAACAAAGATCCACATTTTTTTATTAAAAAAAAAAAGATAAATCGGATTAATTGAAAAATCGGACGGGCTTCCAAGTGAACTACCGAGTCAACCAGATTTAATCGGGTCAATTGTTTATTAGATCAAACTAGAGACCTGGCCCGATCTAACGTTCGAGTCACCGGGCCAATCGGTTCAACTGTCAGGCTGGATTTAATAACTATGAATATAAGGTTCCATCTAGTTTTCCATTTTACCGTGTCAAGGTCGAGCTTAAGCCCTCTGCCGATACAGCCACACCAAGTGCCTGCCTTCTTCTTCTTACCATCTTAGCATTCATGCGCCAAGTACACGTCTTAGCATTCATGGATTTTTGTACACATTTTTGCATTCATGCGCTAAGTATCGTCAATGACGAGGAGAGAATTCATTCCTCTCCTTAGTCAAGGGTGCACTAGACATGCAAGAAAAGGACCTGTCCAACCTGTATAGTTACCTTTTGATTAATAAAAGTTTTTATCGTTAAAAAAAAAAAACCTTTTTTTTCTTGCCAGCGTAATTTTTCTTTTTTTTAAAAATAATTAAAGTACCATATATGCCCTCGCTGGCCAGCCATGAGCCAACAACGAATTATCCCATCCTGTTTGCACTATGGGTCGGCTGACCCGCGGAGTGCAAGCTAAGCAAATTACAGAGGGGTGCTGTGGTGCGGGCCAATAGATCCATGCGAGGGTGAGATCAAGGTTTGACTTTTGGAGGTTAATTAGGCTCTAACAATACAGCCGACCTTTATGAACACATCTCTATTGCTGCCCGAGTAATTAATTAAAGAAAATCAATTGGCATTAACTGATTTCCCCCCTTTTTTGGGGTAAACCAAGCTGACTACCATTTGGATTTATATATCGACGAAAGGCTGCTTTTATTTTCGTTTCTAAATGCATCGATCTACAGTCCAAGGGATAGACTAATTAACTTCACCTGCGTGCTCAAGTGCATGGCATGAATTATACGCTCTACCCTTTCCGTTGAGGAAATTCACGGACCATTATAAACAGTTCAACTTCAAATGGGAGTATTTTATCTTTTTAGGTTTGGTTATGGAACCGTATACAGTAAAGAGCAACTTTGGTGGTGATTATTATTGGTTTTAACTCTCAACGAAAAGTCTCTGCTTTAACGATCTTAGTCGGCACTTCTAAAAGATCTTTAAGCCCCCACGTGAATGGGCTGGTGGTTGGCGCCTCCTCCTCGGGACCGTTAGGTCCTGGGGTCGAATCTCCGCAGCAACATCAGTTCGCCGTGCATTTAACGTGCTAGGTCTGGTTGGGGCGCTGGGCCGGGCCGAGTGGGGATTAGTCGGGCCGCCTTTACGGACTTGACCCGGACACCCCACTCCGTTGACAAAAAAAAAAAAAAAACTTCTAAAAAATCTTTAAGGATTGATCTTCTACACACTGTTAGTATATACACTTTTACCGTCAGAGCATAATACATAATTTGAATTTGAATTTGAAATCCAAATTTTTCATATCTGTCATACATTCAACCTTGATAATGTTTACACTATCAGTGCATATAAGATAAATTCAATAATAAATACTACTATATTATAATAGAATAGTAGAAAAAAAAAGAGGGGTCAAAAGAAATTGCCCATCCTAAAACAGTTTGGGAACTGATATTAAGAATACACTACTGAGTTATCGATTACAGATAGAATTTCCTAAACTTTTATAATATAAGATTGTGTGTGTATATATATATATATATATATACTAATTATATAATACTAATTAGTGTGTACATATATATATAATACTAATTAGTAGTGATGAGTTGGGTGGTTTAGAGGAAGGGAGTATAAATGAGAGATCCCAAGTTCAAGTCCTCCTATTTACAAAAAAAAAAAAGAGTTAACTATTGACTACTAACTAGTTGATAAATTGGTAGAATTTTGTTGGAAAAAACACAGGGTTTGATGCAACAATATTTTTAGAAAAAGTTAAAATATTTTAACTTACTATTGGCATTTCAGATTTCGGATACTACCAAATTACCAGTTTTTCAGCCGCAATCCAATTACTAATATCCAATTTACTAAACTAAAATCTAGACAGTAATCAGATATTAGTCTTGAAAAATTGACTCTCAAACTCCCGAATTTTGGTTGAATTTTGTTGGAAAAAACACAGGGTTTGATGCAACAATTTTTTTAGAGAAAGTTAAGGTTGTGTTTGGATTGCATTTTCCGTGATTTTTCATGGAAAAATTACTGTAGCGATTTGATGTATGTGAGGGAAAAAGGTAATAGGGAAATGTGATCACAGAAAACGACGTAATTTTTCGACGGAAACCGGCAATCCAATTACCAATTTACCAATTTTCCAGCTGAAATCCAATTTACTAAACTAATATTTGGAGAGTGATCAGATATTAATCTTGAAAAATCGACTCTCGAACTCCCGAATTTTTTTACCAAATTTTCGATTATTGGCAGATGAATACCTCTACCCCAACCCTTCCTCCCCCAAATACTTTGATTTTTTCCTTGGGTGCTAAAATACTACCATGCTTTTTTATTTGTGTCATCCTCTTTCTTTTGAATAAGAAGAGAGATACTGCGTCAGAACTAGTAATATGGTGGTAAGGATTGTCTGACCACTGACTTGTGCATATATATTAGTTATGAAAGATTTCAATTGTTTTTTTTTTGGCTTTTTTGGGAAAATAAAGTTAAGAAAATATTTGAATAGAAGGGAACATAAAAATGTGAGCACGTAAATTCAAATGGTAAAATAGATGTCTGACCTGTGTGTATTTAAATGGTAAAACAAATGTTTAAAAAAATTTCTAGTGGTTTTTTTTTTTTTTTTTTGAGGAAAAGTTCTAGTGGTACAATTCTCCTAGTAACTTTTGGAAGCCGCAGAAACCAAAAGGAAATATGAAAAAAAAAAAAGGAAATAGATTAGTCCTTGACTTTGAGGAGTTTCCAAGTTATTTAGTGCAATACTCCATATTAAGGAAAGTAAAAGATCCATATAGAAATAGTGTAGTCCTTGACTATGAGGAGTAGTTTCGAAATTGTTTAATTTTTTGTAACAAGGAAATTAGGAAGAAAAGCGGCATGGGTTCCTGCGGGTAGAAGATCCTCCGAGGTTTGTTCATCTCCTCACAATCGATCACACCAACAAAGCTCCCTTCCCTCCTTCCCTTTTCCAGTCAGTCATTTCTGACCTCTCCTAAACCTTCTCTTAGCCAGCCTCCAATGGCTGCTTCCCCTCCTTTTTCTTGATTTTTTTTTATTAAACACCCGTAAGTGCCAAGAGCAGGATGAGAAGATTATGCTCTCTTCCGTTCCTCCTTGGCCTCCTGTCTCTCTTCCTTACCCTCCTCCACCCCTTCGCCACCACCACCACCTCTACCTCCGCCATTCCCTTAACCACCATCGCCACCGGCATCCGCCTTGGCATCGTACGCAAGCCGTTCGTCCCAGATGCCACCGTGTTTCGCGAAGCTCCGGCCTTCCGTAACGGGGAGACATGCGGAAGACCCTCCGGGGACGCCGAGCACATCCACATTGCCATGACCCTGGATGCTAATTATCTCAGAGGGACCATGGCTGCCGTGTTGTCCATCCTGCAACATTCGACGTGCCCCGAGAACGTCGTCTTCCACTTTCTTTGGGTGAGGCACGAAACCGAGGTGTATTCCAACATTAAATCTACCTTCCCTTACCTCAACTTCAAGGTGTATCGCTTCGATTCGAGCAGGGTTCGCGGGTTAATATCCAAGTCCGTTCGCCAAGCTCTAGACCAGCCCTTGAATTATGCACGTGTATATCTCGCAGAAATAATCCCCGCGGAGGTCAAGCGCGTTATCTATCTCGATTCTGATCTTGTCATGGTGGACGATGTTGGGAAGCTATGGGGCGTCGATTTGGAAGACAAGGTTTTGGCTGCACCCGAATATTGCCATGCAAACTTCACTAACTACTTTACGGAAGCATTTTGGGCTGACCCGGAGTTGCCCAAAATTTTTCAAGGGAGAGATCCTTGCTACTTTAATACGGGAGTGATGGTGGTGGATGCTGATAGGTGGAGACGAGGAAACTATACTCAGAAGGTTGAGGAGTGGATGGCAGTGCAGAAGCAAAAGAGAATCTACCGTTTGGGCTCTCTGCCGCCATTCTTGCTCGTCCTGGCCGGAAATATGAAGGCAGTTGATCACAGATGGAATCAGCACGGACTGGGCGGTGATAATATTGAAGGAAAATGCAGGAGTTTGCATCCCGGG